GTCATTAATTCAATGTGGTTTATTTACTTATCAGTCTTATATCTCCCAATGTAATTTCAATAGGATATATATGCATATATATATATATATATATATATATTCAAGTACTGGTTTGGTAGGGATTTTGTTTAATTGCATGGAGGATTTTATCATGAGCTGACATCAATTAGAGAACCACTGGAAAACCTGGGAGTACTGGACAGCCGTTTCGTCCTAGTTTGGGACTCTTCATCAGTACGCGACCACCGGGATTCGAACCCAGGATCGGGTCCCAGTGGCTCAATGGTCTACGAGCTCGCCTTGTAACCAGAAGGTCCTGGGTCCGAATCCCGGTGGTCGCGTACTGCTGAAGAGTCCCAAACTAGGACGAAACGGCTGTCCAGTACTCCCAGGTTTTCCAGTGGTTCTCTAACTGATGTCAGCTCAGGATAAAATCCTCCATGCAATATATATATATATATCCGTGTATGAAGAGTATTCAGCTGACGAGTTCGACTGAAATTTGATCAATTCATCAATAAATATTGCTTAATCAACCTGCTTGGTTGCTTGTTTTAAATTCGTATCGGGAAATAAATGTTTTCAATTCCTTTTGAGCTGTGTCCTTGACTCAAAATATGTACTCCTGAAGTTTTTATAATAGACATTCAACAAAGTGTCGTCCTGTATTTCTCGAAAGAGATAAGTCAGAAATATTATTAAGGGTTTGGTTTGAGCTTCAGATAAGATAGCACTGTGTTACGCAATCTACTGTTAGTTACTTTTTTAGTTGAAGATCCTGCATGAAGAGAAAGTATCATACAGTAAGTACTGCTGAAAAGTTGGTAAATCACAGTGCGTCGGTGGCACAGTGGTTAGGACTCTTGCCAGTCATGCACATGGTTCGGGATACGATCCCCTGCCTGCGAAATTTGGGCTACCGATATCACATGCTGAAAATTCCATACTTGTACCAAAAATACGGTGTGAAATCAAGCTATAATCAAAAATCAAAAAAATTAGTTGAGGTAGAATCAGACAGTAAGATGTTCTCAGAAACAAAACTTCGATTTACCTTCCACCAGTTATAAACTCTTCTCCGTCTGATTAAAAAAATAACCAACTTTTGTGTGATCACCTCCGTGTGGAGCTCTATCAGTTTACCTACTGCTGTGGAGCAAGATATATTGGCCGCAGGCACAGGATACTATTTACACAGAGAAATACGAGAACATATTCCAGCATGGCTTTACAAAGGAGAAAGGAAGGGTGTGCAAAGCTGTATTTTAGAACACTTGATCGACTTGACTATGATATTGTAACGACAGAAGGCAAGAGTCAGGCAACAGATCATTTATTAAGGAAATCAACGCATATTTATATATGTTTTCATGTACATTACTATGGTTACGTAAACAAACAAACACAGTCTTCCGATTGGTTGTTTCTCACGACAAATCTTGGGAGCGTAAATATTGACGTAAATTACTGTCTACCAATTTGGCTAGTAGACAGCTCTCACCACAATACTAACAGCACGTCGGGCGAATTCACGCTAATCTGACACTCTTTCTTACTATCAAACTTCCAAATGATGGTGAATGCCTTGGTCATTTATGAATTCAAGTCAAACCTTTGTATACAAAAGAAGTATGTACACTCCCAATTTCTACCTTGGCCTTAGAGGGATGAAACTTTGAAAATTGATTTTTCGTTTTTTTATTTAACCTATGTATGTTTCTCTTATAAGTATGACCGTTATTATTGGTAGTATTCTTATTCTCGCTTTGAAGTGTTTCCGTTATTATCTAACTTGTCGCATTCACTAGTCAAAATCAAAACTGCTTTCTCAATGATGAGTTCTGCCTTATCAAACTTTTTCACAATGTTACATAATGTTTTAATTACCTATTAACTCTATTAATCCTACAATCTTTCATCCCTTTCAATCATGCGTACACTTAATGAGCTATTCTGTATATCAGTGTTTAAAACCAGGACCTTCTGATTACAAGGCGAGGATGTAGACTATTCCGCCATTGCGAATGGAGATCGATAAGTTGACTCAAGGCTGTAAAATGTGTCAAATGAGTGGCTAGTACAAAATAGAATGCATTAAAGCGAAGATAGTATTGTGGTGAGAGCTGGCTGCAATGGAGGTCATGAGAAAAAAACAATAACAACGCTTAACGTTGAGAAGCACAGCAACCAATCACAGCAGATTTAACGTGTGCAAATACGATTCGCAGATATATGGCTTAACTTTCTGAGAAACGGCCACAAAGAGACAAATAGAATAACCTTTCACAGGAAGAGAACCAATCAGAAGACGTTGCTTCCCAGCTGACAATAATGTACATAAAAATCTATAAATATCTGTTGATTTTTTGAATAAACGATCTGTTAGCTGGCCCTTGTCTTCTGTCGTTACAGTATGACTGAGGCGATTCATCATGAAATAATCAATATGTGAAATGAAACAGATGGAGGCATAGGTACATTAAGAAAAGAGGTAATATCAATACAACTAGTGATATGTATAAATTGGAAATTCGATAGTATTGAAAGGATGCTAGAATAAAGAATCTAAATCATAATAGATAGTAATAATTAAAATAACAAACTATAGGGAGCAAAGCAAAATCAAAAAAGGTGATAAGAAGAAGAGGCACTTTCAGAGAGGGGGAGGAGGAGGAATTTCAATCCACCTTTTGGCCACGATAAGAACAGTGCCTGAAAGTGTTATTTTTGAATGCAAAGTTCCAGTTTAGCTGAAATTATTCCAACAGCTTCAGCTAAATGTGGAATACATAGGTTAACTGTACGTCATAATCACTTTAGAGTGTGGTATGTCGATGTCGATGCGACGTAGAAGTAGGGAGATAGGGAGTGAAGTGGTACAGCTTGTTGACCACTTCACTTATTTGGGGAGTTGCATCAGCCAGCCTCAACGGGTAGATCGCTATCCGTATCTCAACACGGATACAGAGGGCTCGTTTGGCATATGCCAACTTACTCCATCTCTGGCTTAGTAGACGTGATATCCGGCTAGTTGTCGACCAAACAGCGTCTGCACTGCTCAACAGTTCGCTCCGTTCTACTTTATGGCTGGCTGTGACATGGCCATTGAAAGTGGAAGACATGAAAATGCCCGCTAGCTGTCTTTCAACATAGGTGTCTGCGTTCTATCTCCCATGTTAGGTGGCATAATAAGGTGAGCAATACTGCGGTTAGTCATCGGTCGAGTGTAAGGTAAGGAGGGGAAATCAATCAACGAGGCTGGGAAGCAGTTACATCGATAGAGATGGTTAGGACATGTGTTACGTATGCATCCCTAGCCATCCCCTTCCTTCCTCAACGGACAATGTTAGCTGACTGACATAGGATCCGTCAGCTTGGAAAAGAGCTAGCACACGGTGGTCAAACCAAAACATGGCTTCATCAGTCAGTGAAATCCACAACAGTTAGTTTAAGCCGGCCAGCCAGCCACGTAGGAAGGTGTAGACTGGCTGCCTGACTGGTTGGGGTCCTCAGGATGGCAAAAACCAATGACAGCTTGAGACAATCCGTGATATGGCGGGCTCAAATCGTTCTCAATGGCTGGTGCAGATGAATACACTCCTTGTGACTTATAATATCCAATAAAACTATATGGTTCTTCAATATTACTATTCGTTCTGCCTCATATCTCTGTTTATTGCCTCTGTTTTGAATCCCTTTTTACTTTCTTCTCTTGCTTTGTTTGCTAAGGAAAGTGTGTGACAACTCGAACTGCTGCATATCTGTGCAAAGTTATACGTTGAAACCAGTCAGTTAGTCAGTCAGATGCGACGTTCTGTATCCACCAAGTGTGACAGAAGTGAACATTGCATGCATTTGATTACCCCCACCCACCCCACCCCACTTTACTGAACCAAGCTGATAAATGTTATCGAATTCGTACATGAACCTACCTATGTGGTATGAATCTATTATGACGACTAATCACCATCATCAACAACAACAACAACAGAAGCAATATCCAGCGCCAATCACCATCAACGGGAGGGATTTGAAAGAGGTTACTTCATTCACTTATCTAGGGAGCATTGTCTCAACTACAGGAGGAACGGACGAGGATGTCAAATCGAGAATCACGAAGGCGAGAAACACATTCATCAACCTGAAACCAATCTGGAAATCTTCATCACTCAACTCAGCATCAACAACAAAATTCGGATTTTCAATACAAACGTCAAGTCAGTCAGTTCTTCTATACGGATCAGAAACTTGGCCAGTATGTCACCAAGAATATTTCCAACAGCCTGTTGCAGACCTTTATCAACAACTGTCTTCGTTCTATACTGAAGGTCAGATGGCCGGAAAGAATCACCAACAAGAAACTATGGGAACAAACAAAACAAGAACCAATCGCTCAACAAATATGCAGGAGAAAGTGGAGATGGATTGGACACTCGCTGAGGAGGCCGTTGAGTGACATCGCGCGTCAGGCCCTGATACCCGAAAGGGAAGCGACGAGTGGGAAGTCCAAGGGTGACATGGAGTAGATCGTGTGAGGAGGAGTTGAAACAGTATGGACTAACATGGATGCAAGTGAAAAGTACAGCAGAAGACAGAAGCAAGTGGAGACGTGCAGTTGAAGCCCTATGTTCCACTAGGAACCCAAGGGAACAATAATAATAATCACCATCATCGTCATCATTGTTTCGCATTTTACAATATTTTTGTTATTGAATTCAGCTCAGAACGTTCGATACACCAAGATAACTGAAACGCAAATGGATTTCGAAAAAATTCAAGTCAATCAGAAGACAACAGCAATCCATAGAAACCTGTCTCTACTGTTCACCATCTCCACAGTGTACACAGGTATATAAGCTAGTTCACTGGGGGGAGATTAATGAGGTAACTCAACCTTACTAAACAGCTATTTCAAACCACTATAATACTTTCACCAAGTAGTTTTAATGAAAAAAAATGCTAAAACACAACGATTAACATTTCTGTTAGATTACACATACCACGTTTTCCTGTCACGTTGGGAGTAGATCGACACGAATACCGACCTGAAAGGATGGAAAAAAGACGTTGAGGTAAGAGGAATGACCCACTAGAAATAAAAAATTCTATTTAACACAGATTTATGTGAAGGGTAAATAGAAATTCAACATCATAGATGTTGAATATGATGCCTGTGATAAGATTCCTTCGAATAGACGATTTGCAAAAGCTGTCAAATAGAGATAAGAAATATTCAACTACTGTTAATATCTCATTCTTCACAGGATACAATGAAAGACTTGCTTATTTTTATTATTATTGTCTCCTTTAGTTCCTAGAGGAACATAAGGCTTCAGCCGCACGTCTCCGTAGCGTTCGGTTCTCTGCCAACGTGTTCAACTGGCTCCAAATCTGCCGACATGCTTTCATCTTCTTTTCGCATGACCTCATCCATGTCACCTCACCCTCGCACTGACGACCAACTTGCCGTTTCCTATTTCGGTTCCACTCGAGAGCCTTGTTTGCTTACGTAATACTGAACCACTTGAGAATTTATCACTCAAAATAATAAAACTATGATCAGCACAAACCAAAACATTATGTCATGAAGTTTATGGCTGACGACGCAGTCATTCGCCTACATTAAAAACGACCTAGTACAGCTGAGAGTGAGTTTATTCCGGTCTTCTTATCAAAGTACCCTTATGTAACCAAGCATTTATAACATCTACCCAGCAGCTTTTACTGGCTGGCGCTGAAGATGCTCTCCAAAAAGTGAAAGCGCAAGTGTGAATGTCTGTTATGCATCGTCTGACTGCTAAATATGAACGGTTGTTAACTAAGGATTTTGAGAAATTACAATCTGAAACCTATAGGTGGTGGGTATGACCTGAAAAAGGACAGAAATGTGTACGGACCGAATTTTGGATCACCTGTAACGAATCTCCTGATTCTAATGCATGGAAAATTCCCATTGGCACGTATAGAAAATCAAAACAAGTGTTGATTCAGCGAAGAGACTCTTTACAACAACGAGTTTATTATCAAGCTATACAGTCGTATATACATATATGGTTTTTAAGAAATTATATCCGCTGAGGGAATTGAATCATAGGTGTGAATACATGAAATAATAATAGTATGAAACGCAATTAAAATGTTTGTGATTATAATCATAGTTAAATGTCAAGTGGCAACAGAATTAATGTCGTATATAGAATATACATTCAAATCCCATGAAATGTGACTTATCATCCGTACCCAAGAAAATACTGTACATGAGCTTGGAATTCAAAACTGAATGAGCTTGCGATATCATGAAAAGATGGATATCACAGTCTCTGAAAAGCACATTCCTTGCTGCATCCTTGATAATAGCCTTTGTCAGTCGGACATTACTGTTCAGTAACCTGAAGGACAAGATCCCACAGTTGACCAACTCTACGTGCGTTTATCAATTCACCTGCTCATGTGGAGCCAGGTATGTCGGTCGTTCGATATTAGAGGGTGCAAGGACACTATCCAGCATGGTTACGAAGAGTGGAAGTGGAGCAATAAGAAGTGCGATCATTGAACATCTGGTCTACAATGATCACCCTATCTCTGTAGTCATCTACAAGGGAAAAAGTAATTTACCCAAATCACTAAGTACCCGACTCATCTGTATTGCTATCGAAACAGATCTCTGTATACAGAAAACGTTCGTTCAACCCCTCCAACTTTCGTTGTCTTAATCCCTCTATGGCAAAGCATGGTAATCCCTAATCGTATTTTGGCTGTACCTATTTTTCGTTTTGTTTATTCATTTTGTATACTCTTCCTTTATTACGTCAATTGTTACCATTACTATTCTCAATTTGAATTGTCCCCGTTAGTATTTCACTTGTTTCTTGTTGTTATTCTAAGTCAATTCTGTTTTGTAACGTTAAATTCTATGTTATCAAATTTCACACAGTGTTACGTAACATTTTTATTTTTTTATTCGATTTGCCTACTAATCCTATAACTATGCACCCCTTCCAAGTTCTGTACATCCTGTGGATTATTCTATATATGACATTAATTGTTTTGCCACTTGACACTTAACTATGATTATAATCACAAACATTTTAATTGCATTTCATACTATTATTATTTTATGAATTCACACCTATGATTCAATACCCTCAGCGGATATAATTTCTTCAAAACCATATATATATGAATCTGCTTATGTTACTGTGTTGTCTTAAGGATCTTGAAAGACGACTCTGCTGGAGCTACATGGCTTCAGTTCACCAAGTACTCAAGAATTGAGCTAGTAACTGTCTTGCATTGCCCTTTTGCTAACCATGCCGGATAATGTTCAGGGATGCTTTCGGAAAGTGTGCACTTTGTGCGGCCAATATAACTAGCTCCAGAGGAACAGGTGAATTTGTAAACACACATTGAAGTGGCCCAAACTGGCAGTTTATCCTTCACACATCCATTGATCATTTGTCGGCTGTAGAAATTGATCCGTAGCTCAGCCACAAAAGCGCTAAAAACCGCTTATTCAGATCACGGAGAAAAGCCTTCTATGTGGCTGAGCTACGGATCAATTTCTACAGCCGACAAATGATCAATGGATGGGTGAAGGACAAACCGCCGCTTTGAGCCACTTCAATGTGTGTTTATAAATTCACCTGTTCCTCTGGAGCTAGTTATATTGGCCGCACAAAGTGCACACTTTCCGAAAGCATCCCTGAACATTATCCGGCATGGTTAGCAAAAGGAATATGCAAGACAGTTACTAGCTCAATTCTCGAGCACTTGGTGAACTGAAGCCACGTAGCTCCATAATTACTGAATAGTAGCTTACTGTTGTGACGGGATTTTACTCCGGTAGTGGGTTCGTCTTACGTGAATAGAATGCACCTCCGAAATTATCTCTCACACTGAGAAAGACACAAAAGTCAGAAGGTAGACAACAACAACAATAACCAGAACAACTTTTGTTAGACAAAATACATGGTATGTTATATTTACAAACCCTCAGAAAATGAAGCCATAAATAAGCCAATCTAAACTGTCCAGTAATGGTCACCATATCCGTACATCCATAAATCATGACTTGACGACTAAAAAAGACGTTTTTCCGTCCTAACACATGACCCAACCCACACAACCTGACAACTATGGACATTTCATAGTTGTAGAAAAGTTCATAACTGTTAAAGACCTATTTTTTTAAATTCCTGTACGTTCCCAGTGAAACATAGGGCACCTTCAAGCTAGAGGCTTGAAGTTTCTGTAGCAGTGGTGATTATTTTTACAGGATGGGGTTGCTAGCCTCATACCTAGCTCAACTTTCCCTCTTCACCAGTTTTACTACTGGCTTAGCGAAGTAAAGGAGTGCGTCTGTGGCCAGGGATCGAACCCCGGACCACATGAGACGTGGTCGGCGAGCACTCTACCACTGTACCACCGACGTACATTAAAGACCTATAATAAAAGCAAAACAACTATTCAGTTTTCCTTAGTTTTACAATAATTCTCCATCTGGAAACTAATCAAAATGTCTATATGTATCCACAACACTTTAGAATTGGAAAAAATGCATCATTTTCCACCAGGAAGCGAGTGCACTAGGCGTACACATGTGACGATTGTAATATAAATAAACAGCATGTACAGATATGTAAGATAGGTGGTAATTTCACGAAACGATAAGAATGAACGCACACACACACATTCATATCCCATGGGTAGGTTTTTCCCACACACACACACGCACACACACACAGATCAGATGAATGTTTATATTTGTTTCATTAGATTTTATTGATAATTCATATTCTAAAATCCCTATGGGTACAAAATACACATGAAGAAATAATAAAATTCCATGTATATACTTGATCTATTCTTTTTACCTTCGACCGTGTATTTTCTCTGATCTTCCCTAGGCATCCCACAGCATGTTATTGACTAGAATGCTATTTCGTTTAAAGTTCTACTACGCAAGGAAGTTAAGACGATCCGGTATCATCACTTAGTCAGTGTCAAACAGCTGAATGCAAAGTGCCAAAAACCTCAATAACAAAACATCTTGTAGACTATAGACATGATATCAACGCTGTCAAGTCATTCACTGTGTGCATTGGTGGCCGACCACGCCCCCATGTGGTCCGGGTTCGAACCTTGGCCCCGGACGCACTTCTTTACATCGCTAAGCCAGTAATAAGACTGGTAAAGAGGAAAGGTTGGGTTGGGCATGAGGCTAGCAACCCCATCCTGTGGAAATAATCACCACTGCTACAGAAACTTCAAGCCTCGAGCTTGAAGCCCCCTAAGTTCCACGAGGAAAGTAGAAGAATAAAAAAAGTCATTCATTGTTGTCAGTATACAAAGAAACAGGAAGATGCTTCAATTCCGGAGGAGGCTTGCGCAATTCGAGTTTATAAACCAGGTCTCTGTGTACAAAAAGAGATGGTCGTCACTCTGAATCTAACATGGTAATATGTTTTACTTATTATCCTACCTATTATTATCATTACTATTATTATTATTCTTGATTCATTTAAAACTATCCTTTATCAGTAGCATTATCTTAACTCACTTCAACATTGTTATTATTTTCTATAGTTTGGTTTGTAAGGATTAGTTATGTTTTACGAGTTGATCACGGACTGATATCAGTTAGAGAACCATTGAAAACCAGGGAGTACTGGACAGCTGTCCAGTACTAATCCTTACAAACCAAACTATAGAAAATTATTCTGATGCTCGCTAGTGACTTGCTACAGGTTGCAGCTTCCTGGATTTCTAGTGAGAAGTCGTGACCAGTGAGCTCCAATTAGAAGTCACGTGTGTGGATGGATGTCCCACCAACGACAATAGTTGGGGTCGCGCTAAAATCACGAATTGGTAGAAGTTAGAATTCATGGGCTGGCCATTGAATCGGGTCTCAGTGGCTGAATGGTATACGAGCCAGCTTGCCTTGTAACCGGAAGGTCCTGGGTTCGAATTCCACTGTGGTGGGTGCGTACTGCCGATGATTCCCATACTAGGATGAAACAGCAGCTGTCCAGTACTCCCTGGTTTTCAATGGTTCTCTAACTGATATCAATCCGTGATCAAATCGTAAAAAATTGTTATTATTGTTATCATTATTATTATTATAACTATTACTATTGATATTACTCTGTTTGCAATTTTTGATATATTCTCTAATAACTTATTGTTTATCTAAGTGATGTAATTGAAGCGTAATGCATTTTATCTTAATTTCAATCTCTCATACTCCCTCTCTCCTTATCTATTTGAACATGACCTGGAAAACATTCGCACGTGTCGCTCTGTATGATTAATTCAGTGTAGTTTATTTACTTATCAGTCTTATATCTCCCAATGTAATTTCAAAAGTATGATATATCCGTGTATGTAGAGTATTCAGCTGACGAGTTCTACCGAAATTTGATGAATCCATCATTAAATCCTGCTTCAATAACCTGCTTTGCTGCTTGTTTTATATAGTCAATGTCTACTTTTACAATTTTTTAATTCTTGTATTCTACCTATCCTTCTGTACTGCTCCCCGCTAACCTTATTCTTCCCTAGACTACTTAAGAAAGACTTGTTATATGGCGTGAAGGTCACTAAAAGCTTTCAGTAGAGCAAGTAGGTTGTCACTAAAGCAACTCGTTAACACTGTTGTAGATAGACACATGGACTCATGCAAGAAATTAGCGAATATTATCTTGTCAGACCAGAAGCTGAGCATCCTGTCTATACACAACTCTCCTGTCTTGCATCTTCATCATCATCAGGTAGTGCTCTTGAAGCAACCACAGAAGATCATATGCTCGGACGACTAAGTATATAAACTCTACAATACCACCTTATTTGGCTGGGACACATTTTATGTCATGATAAAAGTGTAAGACAAGACACTACCACCAACTTACTACGGAACTCTAAATGGTTGGCCCTCGTTTTTTCTCATCATTGCATTGTTGTTAATATTTTCATTTATATTCATTCATATTTAACGGTATTATCAATGTAAATGACCTGGTTTTGTAGTTATTACCCCCGTGTTATGAGAAATTTGGATACAATACTGTACTACATGCTGAAAATTCCATATTTGTAGCAAAAATACCGTTTAGAATGAGGTAATTATTACTACTGATTATTGTTAAATAAAAATAATCGATATGCATCGTGTGATTTTTTCGATATTTCATGTATCAGGCTAAAAGCTAAACTTGTTGTGTGAAGGTTGATGGTACTTACTTACTATGCAGTTGTCCTACCACGCTTCTCACTCTGAAGTGGAGTGGAAGTCGAACCTACCACCCACTGAGTGAAAGCCAAGTGGTTAAACCACCACTGAGCTATGATAAGAAAGATCAACTATTGACAAACAAAATCTATTCGGAGCGCTATTCTATCTCATCTTGTGGATACAGAACACAAGATTGATGTCAACGAGGCGGCTTTCAAAGTCATTTACCGCATACCAACAAATCTTAACTTCACCTTAAGAGTTCGTTTACTAAATATTGCTGAGGCTGGCCATTGGGATCCACATTAAGAAGCCTAATTTATGCGTCCAAAAGAAGAAGCTAGTTCAGACAATGTCCTTACCCTTGGCCATCTAGGTTCAAATGATCCTCAATTTTTGTAGAAATTTCCTTAATTTTAGTTGATATTCTATTTGCTATTATATTTTTATTATTACTATAATTTAAGTATCTTTAATGAACTGTAATTCCATTGTGATCTTACTTAACAAATCGATATTATTTAAAAAAACACTAATATTGCTATTGACTACTATTCTAGAATGTTCTGTGTATATAAACATATGTCAGTATAATTGTAGAGCCAGAAGAGGAAATTATCGAAAAGGATATTCTTTGCTCAATTATTTTGTGTTTTATAGATGTCTGAATGAATATTTTCGCTATATATCTACTTTGTCATGGTTAGCTGCGATAAAGGCGAGCTAATCGGCTAAAGCGTGCTAACTTATGCTGCTAAGAATTTCGATTCTAACACCACCAACAACAACAACAACAACAACAACAATACCGCCGAGCACACGAGACAGAGAAGAGATTAACCGTTGGTAAGGGGCTTTACTGTCTGATCACAGCAATTAGCATAGTCTGATGCACACTCGTGATTGAATGACTGACTACAGGAAAAAGTTGCCTAAGAAGTTCTAACAAAAAGCTGTGACCAGTAAGGTCCACCAGGTCGGGTAACTAGCCTTTCACATGCTCTGATGGTGTTCTCGTGACTTTTATTGCCAGATCTACCAAGGGTGATAGGATAGTACGCGAACTAATGGTTGTGTGAAAGGTTTGTAGAAGGCTGTATACAATATGGATGCGCCTCATCCTGATTTATGTGCGTCGGTGGTTCAGCGGTAAGACGCTCACCAATCACACACGTGGTCCGGGGTTCAATCACCAACCGACGCACTCCATTAACTCGCTTAGCTGGTAGTAAGGCCGGCAAAGAGGACAGGCTGGGTATGAGGCTAGCAATCCCACCCCATAAAAATTAAACCACTGATGACGAAACTTTAAAGCTTTAGCTTGAAGCTCTGTGTTCCACTGCGAGTGTAAAGGAATTATAATGATAAACTAGCTCGGGTGTGTGAACTAATACTTGCCGATGACGTTGACGCTGGTGGTCGCGGTACAATCGACAGTTGACGAAAGTTAGAATTCATGCGCCAATGGATTTCGTCCCAAATGGCTGATGAATGGTCTACGACCTTGCTCGCTTGTAACCAGAAGGCATACTGGGTTCAATCCCTACTGGAGTCATAGGTGTGTACCACTAAAGAGTCCCCAATTGGGACGAAACCGCTGTTCAGTACTTCAGTATTGGTTTTTCAATAACAGTTCTCTAACGGATATCAGATCATGATCAAACCTATAAACAATCGAATTCCAACAAACTGACACTTCACAATCATTATGATTTCTTTCTTGGGATCCAAGTGGAACATAGATCTTCAGCAGGACATCTCCATTGCATTCTATTGTCTGATCTCTTATTTAATTAAAACAATGACTGTCCTCATATTACTCCCTAGATGCCTAGCTCTTCACTCCAGACTGGTACGACTTCCCTACTTGAGCAGTGAAATTGCCCGTTAAAACGACATTATCTGAGCATTTTGTATTTAGCAGCAAACTAGACAGTTTTTAATAGAGCTCATCCCTTATTTCATCTGAACTGTAGTCTTTTGGGGCGTAAGTGGATATTACGAATAGACATCGACAGGTATCGCAATCTTACACTCTTCTGACGAATCCGTTAAGACTGACAACACACATACGACGACTATCCACTGGAATCTAGTCAAGTAAGGGTCTTTCTGCTGACGAATCCTTGCAAACTAGGTAAAGAATCTTCTGATTCCCCTTAAAATAAATTCTGTGGATTCACGCTTTTGTCCAGTTGAGGTTAAGTGTCACCGAAACACAACATACACTTATGGCTTGAGATGCCAGAGTTATAACTAGCGATGGTCTGTTGATGAATTCGGTAAATGGTCCTGACGTCAGTGCTTCAATATGAAGTTGACAGCGTGGTTTTAACAGATTGTCATCACTATTGGTGTTAGCTGAGTTAATAGAAGGTGAGTTACCTTTGATTGGACACCAGTTAGTAACTAGTGTAATGTGTTCAAGGTTTCAGACATGCCATGCTGACTGGTGAATGCCAACTATCACGAAACCTAGGTCCATGCAGGGCTTCCTGCCAATCGCTTCCAACCATCTGATGAGGGATCTATCCGTGGAATAGTATTAACAGAAGAAAAACAAACAAAATGAGTGGTAACCAAAAGAGCTTTTTGTGCTTTAGAAGGTGTGTGGGCGGTTGTGAAATCGACTGAATATAGCCACAGTAGAAGGAATGGAGATATTCTGCTCAGGCCTCATATTCCAATCGAAACTTAAGGAATGAAATAACAACAATAAATAACTAACCTGTAGATTGACGTAAATTCTCCATTCCTGGTGGCATAGTAGATGAATTCATTCGCTCCGATCGACGATATCCCATAACACCAGAACCAAGAGATGTTGACCCTGGTGATAGCTGTCTTTGACGTACGTACATATCACGTTTTGGTCGACCAGTTAATGAAATAGGCATATTAGAATCATGAGATATCGATGTCATTGTCGTAGCTGTAGTAGCTAGCGGTATATTACTGTTGTTATAACGATTTGGACTGCCATCATTTAACATTTGTTTCTTAGAGTCAAGATCATTTGATCTTCGATAAGGTATAGAATTACTAGTCATCGATCGGACAACAACATCACGTCGTGATACATGTTGCTGCTGCTGATGCGGATGCGTATGATGACTTGATCCTGTTGATGAAGCTGAATGCATAGGACTGAAAAATGATCTTGCTAACGACCTAGATCGATGACCACCGGCAACATTTTCATTCATATTCGGATTTAATTCATCATTACTCATAATTGCTGTAAATCCTTGTTCTGCTAATTGAAGATAAGAGATTGGATAATGTCGACCATAGTCTACACCTGGAGGACATATACGTCGTTCACATGTTGTTGATGGTGTAAATGAATTCGGTGATATTGTCTGACCTGGAGTAGTAGATAACAAGGTATCTATTGTAACCGGTTCAATTCCTTGTACCTTAAGAAGATATAAAGGAAAAAATAAGAATGCAGATTAATAATAATAAAGACCAGTAACAGCGATAACATGAAATGAAACAATAGATTGAGATGAGATCTGCAGCTCTCCACCAGCTGGTCGCCAGTTTGAATACTGTTTCGTGTACAAGATGTAGCATCAATTTCATGAAAAATAAACAAATGATTGTTGGAGTAACATTTCTCTACCTCTCTAGTCGTTAAATGTCCCATAATTTATGCTTTATTTGCAATTTTTATCAAAAACAACGAGAGAAAGCAGAACATGAAATCAAAGCCAAAAAGAGAAGAATTCACTTCATGGGCCAGTCATTGGATTGGCTCCCAGTGGCTATCCAGTACTGGATGCTTCTCTAACTGCATTGTGATCAATCAATCCTGTGAGGAATGAAATAACAAAAACTGGTATTCAACTATTCATACTATCTATCCCCAACCCTTTCACCTTGACATTGAATTTACCCGAAAAATATCAGAAACAATCGATATTATTATTATTCTTGAATTGAAGATTACACACATCACTTTTGCGTTTACATTGAAATAAGAGCGAAAGAGAAGGGCAGTGTATCAATAGAATTCACAAGGTATTCACTCCAACCGCAGATAGGTTAATTGCCTTAGACACTAATTAAGTGATATTTAGATATATACATATAAATTATCAAATGTTACTTATTATTTGACCTTATACATATATATGGTATAGTATAGGCAAACGGTATAGGCAAATAAAAATTCCTATTCAAGTGAATTTAGGTAAGTTTTTTTCTATTCTAACCTTTGGACGCCATACAATCAGCTTTCATAAATAACCATCCTGTATATTATATCTTATTTATTTAAGAAAAATAAACTAGCTATACACTAAGGGTACCAAAAGATACACCATTCAAAATAAAAACACACACTATATATATGGAAAAGAAAGATAGTGGAATAATTGATGAAGACCATTATGAAAATAGGTAAGTACACTTAAGAAGAAGATTCAAAGGAAGGATTATTACTTCATAATACTTTCGGAAAGAGGGAACAATGAGAAAACTGTAGGATGTACTCCATTGGTTATGATTGGAGTCATCTGTAGAACACGAGTCGAGAAGTCTCTGGTGTAGGACGTGATATCCGGTTGGCTGTCGACCAAAGGGTGTGTGAACTGTACTGCTCAGCAGTTCGCTCTGTCCTCCTTTATGGCTGGCTGTGAGACGTGGCCATTGAGAGTGGAAGACATGAAAAGCTTGGCTAGCTGTCTTTGATCATAGGTCCCTGTCTTCTATCTTCCGTGTGAAATGGTATAATAGAGTGAGAAATATTGAGGCTAGCCATCCGTCGAGGGGAAATCAGTAGACGAGGCTGTGAAGCGATTGCATAGATTGAGATGGTTAGGACATGTGTTACGCATGCCTAACCATCGCCTTCCTCGACGGCGGGAGATGTTACCTGGCTGACATAGGATCAGGTTGGAAAAGAGCTAGCACACGGTGGTCAAACCAAAACCAGATTGTCGGAACATAAGAATTTAGCTAAGGTTAGAATGGTTGACCCCAAGCAGATTAGTAAATTAGAAAAAAGCTCAGCAATTGCACTGCATGCATTACCACACAACCACACAATAGGGTGGGAGAGGGTTAAGATTCTAAGAAGTAATCTATGTAGGTGGAGAGAGAGGTTGATTACTGAATCTTGCCTGGTTCAACGAGTCTACACCCAACACATGCAACAGAAATGACTCAATGCAAATACCAGAGATATCGAAGATATTACTACCACCAGTCAAATCCGAGGAGGATAACAAATAATCTTAAAATTGTATTTCAATTCAAGTACATCATAACATTCTAACAAGTTACTAATTTTGACTATAAAAACACTCGTCTTATTTCCCATCTCATTGTATTTGATTGATAGCACTAATATTATTATTTCTGAAGGTACATTATCCTATATTTAAATTATTATTCAAATGTCTAATCATCAATTCCACACATGTATATAAATGAAGGAAAAAAGTTGTGTGAGTAACTTGATATGATTATGAGCAATAGTTTGTGCTCGAAACGTCATCAGTTAATATTACTGCATAACACTGTGTGATTTATCAAAATAAAATCTTATTCATAATGGAGTTATACTCTACCACAGTGCCCACGTTTTATACTTATATCAAACCAAAACATGGCTTCATCAGTCAATCAAATCCACAACAGTTAGTAGGTCACGTAGGAAGGTGTAGACTTCCCGGTAGGGGTACTCGGGACGGTAAAAACCAGTGACAGCTGGAGGTAATTGGTGATATGCCTCAAAATCGTTCTCAATGGCTGGCGCAGATGCATCCACTCCTTGTGACTTATAATTTCCAATAAAACAATATTATTCTTCGATATTACTATTCTTTTCGCTTCATGTTTCTGTTTGCTGTCTCTATTTTGCGTTTCTTTTTACTTTCTTTCTCTGGTTTTGTACGCTGAGTGAAGTGTGGCTACTCGAACTGCTGCATATCAGCGCAAAGTACTATGTTGAAATCAGTCAGTCGAGAAGTAGTAGCGATGCAGTAAGAGATGTCAATCTAACACAACTATTCTACTCCCTGTGATGCTTCACATCAAGGGGCGAGATTTAGCAGTGTATCGGCAGAGAATCGAAACCCGACCAGGTGTGTAATCGGTCAACATTCTTCTCCTGAATCACCAGTTATCGAGAGCATTTAACGAAAAGCTCTAGTATTACTTCACATGACTTTCAGAAAGGGGAAAGAAATGAGGAAATTGAAGCATGCTTATCCTTGGTTACAACTCTTAACTCTATGTAATATTGTCTCGAGACACTGATTCTAACTGTATGTCGGACACCACCACCTAGTGAGTTGTGATGCGGCGACAGATGCTAACTCGAATACAACTATCCCTCATCCTACGGTGCCTCATCATAGGCTGACTGACTACTCCGCATCACAATATACAACAGTATTCTATCACTGCTAAGTTCCATTGTGGATAAAATTTTATTTTGATAAAGTCTCACAGTGTTGTGTTATACAGTAATATTTACTGATGACAACGTTTCGAGCACAATTTATCATTGTTGCTCATAATCATATCAAGGCACTACTCACACAACTTTCCAACGTCGTTTATATGATTCCACTATTTCTCATCTCTTGAATATAGGGCATCTACAGTGGTTCTACCATATAAGGAGGGGAAATCTGAGACCCTACGTAGGATTCTTAATAAAGCTGGAATCAGAGTGGCATTTAAACCTACAAACTCATTCAGGTAGGACAAGATCTGTAGGTAGGTAAAAGGACCCAATCGATTGACCCAATCAGACAAAATAATATAATATACAAAATATTTTGCAGTGGGTAACTCTGTGTTTTTTTGAAATGATGACTACTGAGTTGCAATCTAAGCTGGGCGCGGGTACGCCATCGCTCACTACTGACTCACTAGGAAATACGGGTACATCCTCCATGAGCAGATGAATCTTAAATAGGATGAAATTCCTGGATCCTGAATTCCTCCACTGTCAGTCACCATCATCCACCGAAATAACTTAAAGTTAAATCTTCATACATTGAAATGTTCGTACAACGAGGTCGAACATTTCTGTCCACTATATTATCCATGGGAAAAATTGGAAATGAATTAAAAATAAAGAATTTTTTATCATTAAACCGTAAGCTGAAACATTAGAAATATTTGGGAAGTTTTGGTTTTGGAATTTTATTTATTATTATTATTATCAAGTTCTGATTTCCTGGGATTTGATTGGTTACAGGTTGATATCATTTAGAGAACCAATGAAAACCAGGGAACACAACTGGACAGATGTTGCGTCATAGTTTGTAACTTGTCGGAAGTACACACCTACCAGCCATGGTTTGAACCCAGAACACCTTCCGATTAAAAGTCAATCTAACTGGCAAACCATTCAGCCGCTGAGGCCCAACTCAATGGTCCATTACCCATGAATTCTAACTTCTACCAATTCGTGATTTTAGCTCGATTGACACTAGTCAGCGTCCCAGTGGCTGAATGGTTTACGAGCTTACCCACCTTGCAACCGTAAGCTCCTGGGTCCGAACCCTACCGGTAGGTGTGTATTGACCATGTGTCCCTAGCACTAGGACAAAAACCTGTCCAATACTCTCCCCAACTGGTTTACAGTGGTTCTCTGACTGATATCAATCCTTGGTCAAACACGATAAAGTAAGCCAAATCCCTACAAACCAACTTTTGAAAATTATTATTTTTACGAGTTGATCACGGACTGATATCAGTCAGAGAACCATTGAAAACCAGCACTGGAGTACTGGACAGCTGCTGTTTCATCCTAGTTTGGGAATCATCGGCAGTACGCACCCACCACCAGGTTCGAACCCAGGACCTTCCAGTTACAAGGCAAGCTCGTGTACCATTCAGCCACTGGGATCCGATTCAATGGCTCATGAATTCAAACCTCTACCAATTCGTGATTTTAGTGCGACCCCAACCATTGTCGTTGGTGGGACATCCATCCACACACGTGACATCTAATTGGACCTCACTGGTCACGACTTCTCACTAGAACTCCAGGAAGCTCCAACCTGTAGCAAGTCACTAGCGAGCATCAGATTAATTTTCTATAGTTTGGTTTGTAAGGAATAGTTATGTTTTACGAGTTGATCACGGACTGATATCAGCAGCTGTCCAGTACTCCCTGTGGCTGGTTTTCAATGGTTCTCTAACTGATATCAGTCCGTGATCAACTCGTAAAACATAACTAATCCTTACAAACCAAACTATAGAAAAAAATTATTATTATTATTATTACTATGATTTAATCCTTCCCCCAGCCCCCTCCTTTTTTGCCTAGTCTTTAAAACAAAACAAGAAAAAAACCGAAAAAGTGTTTAATCTAATCACAAATCCTTATAACTTTTTACATCACACTATTATCTCTCCTACTTTCTTCCTAATTTTGGCATCCTTAGTG